TTCAGTTCCGGCCCCTCCCCGGGTGTGATGGTAACTAGGCCGGCGGCGGTGGTGGGGCTGTTCAGGGCTTTCTGGGGTCGCTCTCAGCTCCCGCTACTGAACTCAAATGTTTTATGGTTTTCCTTGTAGAAATCTTTCACTGTTTTTGTTAAGCTTAGTCTTAGTTATCTTATTATTTTTGTGGCTATTGTAAATTAAATTCTATCTCACTTTATCCATTGCTGGTGTATAACAATACTATAGATTTTTGTATGTTGATTTGTATTCTGCCACTCTACTGTGTTTATCACTTCTGGGAGTCTTTATTTATTTATTTATTTATTTATTTATTTATTTATTTATTTATTTATTTATTTATTTATTTATTTATTTATTTATTTATTTATTTATTTATTTATTTATTTATTTATTTATTTATTTATTTATTTATTTATTTATTTATTTATTGTGTGTGTGTGTGTGTGTGTGTGTGTGTGAATTCTTTTGGGTTTCTTTGTATAGAATCATATTATCTGCAAACAGAGAACATTTTACTTCTTCTTTTCATATCTGAATGTGTTTTATTTGACTCTTGTCTGATTACATTGGCTAGAACTTCCAGTACTGGGTTCAAAAGGAGTGGAGAAAGTGGGCAGCCTTATCTTCCAGCACATGGTGGAGGAGTTTTTCCCCATTCAGTACGATGTTAGTTTTGACTTTGTCATAGATTGCTTTTATTGTGCTGAAGAATATCCCTTCTGTGCCAGTTTTGCTGAGTATTAATCATGAACAGATGTTGTATTTTGTCAAATGCTTTTTCTGCATCGATTGATATGATCATATGGTTTTTATCTTTCTTTCTGTTAATGCAATGTATTACATTTATCGTTTTGTGTATGTCGAACCATCCTTTCAACTGTGAAATAAAGCCTTCCTGGTGATGGTGTATAATCTGTTTAATGTGTTGTTGGATATGATTTTCAAGTATCTTGTTGAAAATTTTTGTATCTGTATTCATTGGGGATAGTGGCCTATAGTTTTCTTTTTTTTGTTAGGTCCTTTTCATCAAGATGATGAAAGCTTCATAGAATGAATTTGGGAGGGTTCCTTCCTTTTGAATCTTTAGAAATAGTTTTAGGAGAATTGGTTTTATTTCATTAAAAGTTTTGTAGAATTTGGAAATGAAGCCATTGGGACATGGGCTTTTCTTTGTTTGGCGACTAGTACTGATTCAATCTTTTTGCTTGTTATGGGTCTATTCAGCTTTCTATTTTTTTCCTGGTTCAAACTTGGTAAATTATATGTGTCCAGAAATTTCCCCATCTCCTCTTGGTTTTCTTGTTTTTTGGTGTATTATTGTTCATAATATTTTCTGATGATGTTTTCTGTTTCTGTTATGTCCGTTGTAATATCATCTATTTCTTTGCTGATTTGATTGATCTGATTCCTTTCTCTATTCTTGATTAATCTAGCTAATGGTGTGTCAATTCTGTTTTTCTTCTCAAAGAATCAGCTTTTTTTCATTTATTTTCAGAATAGTTCTTTTATTCTCAATTTTATTTATTTCTTCTAGAATATTTATTATTTCTTTTCTCCTAGTTTTTGTTCTTGTTGTTGTTGTTTTTCCAGTTCTCTGAGTTATGTTGTTAGGTTATTTACCATCTTTCTGTTCTTTTCTTGTGGGCACTAATTTTTATGAACTTCCTTCTTATTACTGTTTCTTCTATTTCCCATAGATTATAAAAACTTGTTTGTTAATTATCATTGGTTTCTATGAACCTTTTGATATCAAGCCTTAATTTCTTCATTGTCTTCAAAGTCATTCAGGAGTAGGTGTTACTTTCTATATGTTTGTGTATTTTCAAGGGCTCTTCCTGTAGTTGATTTCAAGTTTGATTCCATTGTGGTCAGAAAAGATGCTGGATATAGTTTTTCATAAATTTAAACTTGTAGAAGCTTGTTTTGTGCCCTACCAGGTGGTCAGTCTTCAAAAATGTTCTGTTTGGGGGATGGGAAAAATGTATATTTTGTAGTTGTTGGTTGAAATGTTCTATAGATGTCTATGAATTCCATTTCATTTATGGTATCATTTAGATCTTGTATCTCTTTGATTCTTTTTTGTCTAGATAATCTGTCCAGAGGGGACAGTGGGGTCTTGAGATCCCCTACAATTATTGTGTTGAAGTCTAACAGTCTCTCTTTCACATATTTGGGTACTCCAGTGTTGGGTGCATTGATATTTATAAGTGTTATGTCTTCTTGGTGAACAAACACTTTAAGTACTGTATAACATCCTTCTTTTTCTCTCTTTTTACATCTTTCATCTTGAAGTCTATTTTGTTTGATATCAGTATTGCAACTCCAGCCTCTTTTTGGCTTCCACTTGCATGGAATATCATTTCCAGTCATTCACTTTTAGTTTACCTATGCCTTTATCAGTGAGGTGTGTTTCTTGTAAGCAGCATATAGATGGCTAGTCTGTATCTTTTAATAGGAGAATTTAATCCATTAACATTCCACATTGTTGTTGATAATTGCAGACTTATCCCTGTCATTTTGTTAGCCACTTTCTTCGTTGTTTGCTGTTCTCTTATTTCTGTTTGTCTCTCTAGTTTTCCTGATACAATACTCCCTTTAGTACTTCTTACAGAGCTGGTCTATTATTGATGAATTATATGAGTTTTTGTCTATCTGAGAATACTTCTATTTGTTCTTCTCCATTTGAGGAGTAATCTTGCTGGATATAATATTTTTGGTTGAAAATGTTTTTCTTTTAATATTTTAAATACATCTTCCCATTCTTTCCTTGCCTACAGTGTTTCAATCGAGAGGGCTAATGTTAGCTTAGTGGGATAACTTTTATAAGTAACTTGACGTTTCTCTCTTGCCATTTTTTTGAATATTGTCTTGGTCTTTGATTTTTACCAATTTGGCTATATGTGTCAGGGGAGGATCTTTTCTATGTTGATTGTATTTAAAGTTCTTTTTATTTCTTGTGTCTGGATTTCTCCACATTTCTCTAGATTTGAAAAGCTTTTAGATAGTATTTCATAAAGAGGATTTCCTTGCCTTTACCAGCTCCTTCATCTTCTGGAATACCCACTATATGGATATTTGGGCATTGCACAGTGACTAGAGTATGATATCGTAACATTTTTCTTTTAATTATTCATTTTTTAAAGAATTATTTATTTAATTTTATTTATTTCTTCATTTTTTTTTTAATTTGACCAGAAATAGAGAGAGAGGGAAAGTGAGAAAGCAAGTCACCAGGTTTGGAACTCGAACTGTGGTTGATTGTGTGGGAGTGTCCAGCACCTTAACCACCATGCCACCTACTGGTTCCTGTATTTTTTCATTCTTTTTGGTGGTTTGGTCTATGTTGAAGATATTGTCTTCAAGGTCAGAAATTCTTTCTTCTGCATGGTCCAATCTGCTGTTAATGTTTTCTAAGGAGATTTTAATTTCTTGCATTATATTTATTCTTCATCTCCAGAAGTTCTGTTTGTTTTTTTAGGGTGTTTATATCTTTATAAAATTCCTCTTTGGGGACCAGCAGTTAGCGTAATGGCTATGTCGCTGGACACCCACGTAGTCGACCGCAGTTCGAGTCCTGGACCCGGTGGCTTAAAACTCACGCTGGGCATGTGTGCATGCATGCCCAAGATCCCGAAAGGAGAATGGAGGAGAAGGGGTTGTGGCATGACCATCCCCCCTGCGGGGGTGATTTCTCGCTTTCTGTCTCTCTGTCTCTCTCTGTCTGTCTGGCGAGCGCACACGCCCTATAGCAAAAACCTCTCAAAAAAAAAAAAAAAGTTCCCCTTTCATGTCTTAGAATGATTTTCTCATGTCCTGGAATTTATTTTCTGCTTCTCTTGCATCTAATTGAGTTTTGTCACTATGAATGCTTGGAATTCTTCTTCTGACATTTCTGTGAATTCCTTTGTACTGCATATCACTGGGGAGGAGCTATGTACTCACTTGGGAGGGAGTTACCCCCTGTTTTCTTGTATTTGTTCAAGATATGCACTGGTTTTGGGTCACCTGGTGCAGTATTCACTTTTTCCTATTTATTGGAGTAGATTCTATAATATTAGAAAAGAGAATTTCACCCTCAGTTCCCAGGTGTGTTCCTATTAGAAAACTATGTTTCCCAGATAAAGCTGATTTAGGTAGCTTCAGGTGGTTGGCTCCTCTACCAGACTTTCAGTTCTTCATGAGGTAAGAACAAACTAAGGAGATATAACTTAGTGAAAAGGATCAGATTGTACGTTGTGCTGTGTGCAGAGCATGGACTGGAGTGCTGTAAGTTCTAGAGATAATTCCAGGAGCTGGGGGTGCATTCATGAGAAGAAGCCTGCTGAGGCCAGGACCAAGTCTCCCAGTGGGTTGAGCCCTGGAAGCAGGGAGTGCTGGGTGAATGGAGTGCTGCAAGTTCCAAAGATAACCCTGGTGGTGATGCATTCACAAGAAGAAACACTGAAGATAATTCTTGAAGGATTGGAGGAGCCAAGTGAGTACACGCGGATAGTAATCCCTCCCATCACCCATAGCTACTTCTTACAAATAGTTCTTCAAGATTCAGCTCCAGTGCTGCTTCCTCTCCCTCTTTTCTGAAGCTCAATATTTGTTATATTAGCAATATCAACACTCATTATCTATCAACTCTGTGTCAAATGTTCTAAATTTTTTCCCCTTTAGTTTGCTATAGGGTGCACACACCCATTGGAGAGAGAGAGGTAGAGAGAGAGAGAGAAATTGAGAAAGCACCCTCCATGTAGGATGGCCATGCTACCATTCCCTCACTGCCAGTCTCTCATTGGGATTTTGGGCATGCATATGTACAAATGCATCTGGCATGTTTCTTAAGCCTCCAGGTCCAGGACTCAAACCACAAAGCCACATAGAAACCAGCCATCTTTACTATCATTGTCATCATTTTGCAGATGAGAAA